GTTTTATCTTGGTAACTGCAGACAGCAAAGGTGTTTGAACAGGCCTTTGGCTTCCATATCCCATATGATGCAGTGTATGGCTAATTTGCCTATAAACATCAGGTGGTCATAATAATCTGGTCACTCAGTGTATATAAAAGGCTAAGAAACCATCCGACCGTCTGACCGTTGCTATGATGTGCAATGACCACCAGGGGGCAGATGCTCAATTCAGGACTGCTGAGCTACCGTGACTTGGCAGTGGCGGTTCTTGGGTGACGCACCCCAGAACCAGAGAGGAGGGAGCCCGATTTCAGGGTGCATTACCCGAGAACTGCCCTCTCACAATCTGGGACCCCTCAGGGGATGTCAGAGAGCTGGTGTCCCATGTTATTTCAGAACCCTAAAGAGAACAATGGGAGCAAAAAGAAGGAAGCAAAATCCCCAGTGTGGTCCAGTCAGAAATTACTTCTGGTATTTCATTGATGCACAAGAACAATGGGCAGAGCTGACTTAAAACCTTCCACTAAAGAAGTTACAGGCACGGGGTGTGACTACCCACCATGACCTGCCCAGTTAGGAATTTACGATCAGATCACCCTGTGAGGTTGCTTTCCATAGAACCCTTTTTCCCCCCACATTTTCAAAAATAATTTGAAGCAATTGTAAATATTTGGGGGTAGTACCCACAGGTGCCTATATTAGTTTCTGTAGTTTTTAGTTTCCCCTAAATTAGTGTTTGGAGTTATTCCTTCAAAAGAAATTAAATAATGGATCAAGCATTTGGAGAACCTACTATGTGCTTGGCACTGTTCCAGGCATTTGGAATATTTGTCCCTCTCTACTCTCAGAAGTCACCAGGCCTAGAGTTCAGAAACAGCATCTGGTTCCATTATGGCCACAGGCAAGTCACTTTTCCTCCCTCTCAACTCTCAAATCCCATGATTTAATACTGTAACTGCACCTCGGCATTCCTTATGCTCACAGGGTGGACCCCACAGTGCAATCCATTGGCATAAACAAGTCCATATGGAGAGTGTACATACCTAAATGGCTGACCTACTAAAAACGTTTTCCAAAAGGTCCTTTACACCTCCGCCCCCCACCCAGCCCGGTCCAGTCCAGGATACAGACTTTCCTCATGGCATTTCCAGTTTGCAAGGGAATCTTGATAATTTTTGGTAATGAGCGATGAGTAGAAAGTTATATGTCCTAATTCCAGTCTAATCAACAGCAGCAACGTCTGTTTATTCACTACCAGCTGTTTCAGGCGCTGTGGAGAGAACAGTTAAAAACAAAATGAAGCCCTAGCCGGTTTGGCTCAGTGGATAGAGCTGAAAGGCCCCAGGTTCGATTCTGGTCAAGGGCACATGCCCGGGTTGTGGGCTCGATCCCCAGTGGGGGACTCGCAGGAGGCAGCCGATCCATGATTCTCTCTCATCATGGATGTTTCTATCTCTCTCTCCCTCTTCCTTCTCTCTGAAATCAATAAAGAAATATATTTAAAAAATGAAAATGCCTGCCTTCCTGAGGTTTGCAGTCAGAAGGCAAGGGCGACGTTGCGTGTCAGCAGGGCACAGCAGGGCAATTACTAGTCCTCCGCCTCCGGCAGAGCCCGAGCCCGAGTCCATTCAACCCGCCGCCGCTGTCTCCCTCGGGCTTCAGACTCCGCCCACGGCCCGCCTTCGGGCTCTGGCCCCGCCCACGCCCTTGACGTCAAATTTCCAGGCCGCGCCGCATGGACCTGGCCAATCGGAGGCCGCAGAAGCTGCTGGGGCTCCCTTAAGCCCCGCCCCCTG